TGGATTCCAGACAACTTTTAAAAGGGCGTGAGTTCTGCTCTGCTCCTCGTGTGATGAGGGCACGGGGGACCAGGGCGGATGGGAGGGAGGACTGAGGCTAAGACATTTGCCCTTGCCTTCCGGAGTCAGTTGACAAACCGGAAACAGTCCAGACTTTCAGGCATCAACATTAAGACCTTCTCAGAGCTCCTCCTGCTCCAATTGACTTTTCCTTGATGAAATTGCCTCCCTTATTTCTAGACAGCCCAGAGAACTCCTACACATCCTTCAAGACCCATTTCCTATGAGGACCCTTCCCTGACCTCCCCAACTCCATGCTCTCCCACAAAGCAATGTTGACTCTCTCACTTCTTACACACCCACTGTAGGTTGTGTGTACTTCAAACACACATTTATGATACTTTATACTATTTGGCTCTTTATGGCTTAGTCTCTCCCTTAGGGAAGTGATTCTTAACCCAAGAGCTTATAGATGAAAGTCAATGAAAGGGCTTTGGGGAAAATTGTCAATCCTTTGAAACTGCAAAATTTTACGTGAATGGGCAGCTCAAGGGACAGGTATTCCGTAGCTTTCCCGAGTTGCCAAAGAACATCAAGACTCAAACCCGTTCAGAATCCACTGCACTAAAAATTAAGTTCTGGGAGATTTTGTATCGCTATTACCCGGCCCAAGGCAGACACATGCAAAATGTCTGTCGCCACACTGTTGCATAAAACTGTGACGCAAATGTGGTCCAGGGATTCTGAGTTGCTCTGATTTTGTGTTCGAGTCGTTGCAGCTATGAGTGGGGAACTCTGAAAGCCCCAAACCTGACTCACAGCTACTTCTCCTTCCCGAACAACAAAGGTCAGGTGCCAATTCTGCGGGGGACCCCAACACTTTAAAAGCTACTAACCTCTGTTCTCAGAAACCTCCTGCTTTTTACCTGTCTCAGCAAGGCAACACCTAATATATCCTACGGCTACGTTGGCATGAATGTACAAATATGCATGGATACGGAGGTAATTGCAAAAAAAAAAAAAAAAAAAAAGGACTCAATCTGAATGTCTATTGTTTAGAACAAAGGAACAAAAGTCAGCAAAATATTTGTCAAGGGCTGTGGAGTCAATATTTCAGGCTTTGGCGGACATCTAGCTTTTCTGTTGGAACCACAATTGCTCGATTCCACCTTCTATTGTGAAAGCAGCCACAGACGATGTGCAAACGAATGGGTGTGGTCGTGTGCCAATAAAACTTTATTTACAAAAACAGGCGGGGAACTGGATTTAGCCAGTAACCCATAGCATGCTGGCCCCCACCTCAGAATCCCAGATAGCTGTTAAAAAAGGACGCGGCAGAACATCCACGATTGTGTTGGTTTTTTTTTTTCATTTCCAGGGCACGATGACCAGCACATACACAACGCGTCCTCTGGGGTCACTTCTGCCGTAAGCACTTTGCCTGTGTTATTTTACTTAATCCCCACAAACATCCATTCACCCAGGGCGCCAACTGCTTTGTATGGGGAGTGACCAGTTCTGTCAACTCGGACGACTGGCTTGGTCCCTCTGAGCCTCAGTTTCCAAGCTGGTGAAGCAGACGCAAACATTAACACTGGCTAAGTCACTGTTCCACGACGGGAACACAATTAAAGTGAGTGCCTGTCTCTTAGACCCTTTTCAGGGAGCCGCTGCTCAACTTCCAGACGGTATAAAGAAAAGAGAGGCTTAACTAGTTTCCGTTCTGAGCATTTCCTCGGAGGGTGCAGACATCTCCTCAGACCAAATTAACCCGAGTGTTTTTTTTCTCCGCACGTGGTGTGGTGCGATGCGATGTCTATTATCTTATGTGTGATGAATGAAAGCTGTTAATATAAACAGTGAGAGAACAACGCTGTGATATTCCCAGCGGCTGCTAATTAAGGAGGTGGTGCTCATTTTCAGGATGAAAAGGGAACTGCTCTGTCTGAGCTGTCTGTAATCATTTATCAAGAAGTGCAATTTTAAGGACATGACCCAGAAAGAACATGAGAATAATAACAAAAAAAGAGCCTCTTCCTTATAAGAATGGTCATAATGATTACCACAGTCCTAGGAGGTACTAGATGCTTCTGTGTGCCAGGTACGGGTTAAGTGCTTTGCAGGCAGATCCTTATTTAAGCCTTGCCATGGTCCTTCCGGTAAATCTCGATGTTGCGTTGGGCTTTCAGAGACGAGCATGTGCTCGTCTCGTAGCACATGACTGCTAGGCTATGGAAATGACACTAACCGTGACCCAGTGAAAGAAACAAGTTTGGGGGTTTGCAGAGAGAAACATCCTGTGGGATTCTCCATATCTTGTGGATTCTGTAAATGGAGGGCAATAGGAATAAGTATCAAGAAGGAAACCCACAGGGGCGCCTGGCTTGCTCAGTCATTAGGCGTCTGACTTGATTTCCGCTTGGGTCGCGATCTCAAGATCTTAAGACCGAGCCCCACATCGGGCTCCATGCTCGGTGTGGAGCCTGCTTGGGATTCTCTCTCTCCCTCTACCACTAGAGCTCTCTCTCTCTCTCCAAAAAAAATAAAATAAAAAAGGAAGGAAGGAAACCCACAAACACATATGCACACAGACATACGTGTATAGATACACACACGCACACACACACACACACACACACCATGGTCTGGTCAAGAAAGAGTTTGTATCTCATGAGGGGTAAACTCCACGAGCCTGTAGTCGTGTCGATTATGAGATATCACCAGCACGAGAAGATAGCAGCACGGGCAACAATATCCGGCTCTGCGTTAGGTCCTGGTGCCCACAAGGTGCTGCCCAGGTCTGGTTTCCGAAAGCAGGAGGCACGCCATCATTTCTCCCCCCATGTGCTGGTGCTCACAGCGCTCACCGGGATGGAGTGCAAGGGCGAGCTCGGGGATTACGTGGGAAGGAAAAGTCACGGGACTGCATGACGGATCAGGTGGGGCGCGTGCAGGACGAGATGAGGTTGAACAGGAAGCCAAGATTTTTCTAGTTTGATCCAGCGGATGGCTGATCATGCCACAGAGGAGCTGGAAAACAGAGGGGCAAGTGCAGGTTTGGGGGCAGGTGAGAAGCTTCATTTTGGACGTCCCGAGCTCAAGGTGCCTGGGGGACATCCAGGAGCAGATGTGAGGAGACGCACGTAGGTGTTTATGGGTCTGAGGCTTAGGGAAGAGGCACGTTAAGAGCCGAGGAGTCGACGAAGGGTGAACCGCCGGACATCCCCGGGCTGGGAGGCGAGCCGAGGAAGAGAAGCGAGTGCAAACTCCTGAGAAGGAAGGGAAAGAAGAGATTCTACTCTTTCACAGATCAGAAAAGGGCAAGAAGGGCCTGAATGGGCCTCTCTCGTGGGACGGGGTACACAGAAGCCTTGCAGTTAATTACGGTGGCCAAACTCACTTCCCACAGTCTGGGCTAGAAGACCTCCTTCATCTTCTTGGAAACGCAGCTCAGGGGCGCCTGGGTGGCGCAGTCGGTTAAGCGTCCGGCTTCAGCCAGGTCACGATCTCGCGCTCCGTTGAGTTCGAGCCCCGCGTCGGGCTCTGGGCGGATGGCTCGGAGCCTGGAGCCTGTTTCCGATTCTGTGTCTCCCTCTCTCTCTGCCCCTCCCCCATTCATGCTCTGTCTCTCTCTGTCCCAAAAATAAATAAACGTTGAAAAAAAAATTTACAAAAAATAAACGCAGCTCAGCCTTCCACAAAAAAGTGAGAACTTTGATGTAGGCACCCCTAGATTGAAATCTGGTCTCTACAACCTCCTGGCTGTGTGACTTTAGGTAGGCCTCTTAACCTCTCTGAGCTTCGGGGTTTTGATCCGTCAAATGGGACTAATGATCTTTCGCTCCGAAAGCTGGCATGTGATACAGGCTCAGTACACGTCTTTCTTTTTTCTCCCCACCTTGCTGTGTAT